GGACTGATCAAGTAGACACCGTTTATGAATGATGCAGGGGAGAGAGGAAACATAGGCAGGAATGAGGTCCTTGGAGAGGTGAGAAGAAATGGGGTCAGAGCCAGGTGAACGAGAACCCAGGGCCTGTAGGTACTCAGGGACACCTGGCCGCAGACTCCGGGCAGGGAGGCCTATCCGGGCCCAGCCACAGAGGATGTGAGGCTGTGCAACCTCTCCAGCAAGAGGATGAACGCCTGGGGTCACTCATGATCTGCTGAGCTCTTCACACGTTTGCTTGGGCACTCAGCGTCCCACGGGTGCCATGATTATCATCCTCTTTTTTGCCCAAGTGACTTAAGGAGGCAGAGTGGATTTGAACTCAGTTCTGCCCAGCTCCAGATCTCAGGGTGGCCTCTAGCGTCAAGTCTGCTGGGGTTGGGATAGGCTCAGGGCTCGGGCGTGGCAGAGACTACAGTGGGGAGAGCATCAGTGACTATGGCTGAAGGGGCCCTGAGATGATGGGGACTTGAGGACATTCCCTGTGGATGAGGGCCCTGGGGCAGTCTTGATGGGAAGTAGGGACAGTTCAGAGAGCATTAGGTGTTTGGAAGCTAGGGTCCCAGGGTTAAGGAATCCCTTCTCATTCTGGACAGAGCAAGAAGATCTATGACCTTTGGGCCTGGGAGGACAAATGTCTCATTCATCATCTCTCCTGAGGCCTGCCCCGGAAAATGTAGGACACTACCTCTCACCTTTGTCACTTTTAATCCCCAGGGTTGTAGATGTGTTCATTCCCAAGCTCCACATCACAGGTACCTATGACCTGAAGAAGACTCTCTCCGACATGGGTATCACCAAAATCTTTGAGGAACACGGTGATCTCACCAGGATCTCCCCAAATCGCAGCCTGAAAGTGGGCAAGGTAAGCCTGCCTGGCATGGGCACTGACCCCTCCAGTACGGGGAGCCTTTGCATAGCCCTGGGCCAGAGCCACTGTCACAGGGTCTGCACATGCAAAGATCTACCTGCCAGTTGGGCCAGGCTTGAATCCAGCTCTGTCCCTTACCAGCTGTGTGGTTCTGGGCAAACCACATAATCTCCGCAGGATTCATGTTTCAAGTCGTTAGAACTGGAAAATTCAATCTCCTGGAAGTCGATTCAATGTAACAAACGTTGATCAAGGCCTGGAACCTTTATCGGGCCTGGAACTATTTTAGGGCTGTGTCAGACCCTCTCTCAAAGTCCTCTTAGGCTTCTTAGGAGTAAGTCATAAACACATTCCTCATAATGAAGAGGTGAGCAAGCAAAGGTCCTGTGGCCTCTGGCAATGGTGAGCACCTACCTGTTCGGGGCGAGCAAACAGAACCATATAGGTAGGGTCACCAGATTTAGCAAATACAAGGCGCCCAGTGAAATTTGAATTTCAGATAAACAATGAGTAACTTTTTTTACTGTAAGTACATCTTAAATATTTACACTAAAACATATTCATTGTTTATCTTGAATTCAAATTTAACTGGACATCCTATGTTTTATCTGGCAATGTACTTTAGGGTTAAAAGGGCATTGAAGGAGGGGAAAGATTTGAACAATCAGAGATGGGTGTGGGGAGATCCTCCAGCAAGGGGAGCAGGTGGCCCAAGACAGGGAGGTGGGAAAGGCTGGAGTAGTGCCTGGGGAATGGCTGGTGGGCGGTGGGTTTTGGCTGGCGCTGAGCGGAGTAAAGGGGTGGGTGGGGTTCAAGCCAATCTGGGCGGGATCTGGGTTGCTAAACAAGCCAACTGTTCTGAAGCAGAGGGCACAGATTCAGCTTCATTTTCCTATTTGCAAGAGGGAGAGATGCAGTTAATAGAATTTTCTCACTTTTGAGTTTTCCTGCCACCAACTTCCCACAAACATTCAATGCCAGCTACCCTTTTTGTGCAAATCTTTATTGAGTTCAGTGGCTTGTTTCTTTTTCTTTTAGGTGGGCTGATATCTGTGATTGGCCTGTTTACTGCAGGTAGAAGTGTTAGAATTTTGTAGACTAGAATGAAATGTGCCAGTATTTCAAAGAGGCCCATCAATTTCCCAGTATCAATCAACTAGTCACAGATATTGACTCCACTGGGGTGGGCCTGGGGTCCGAGTCATCTCAAACAGCTAACCTGGAATCTGGTTCCCTCATAAGCATATACCAGGGGATGGAAGTGCGGGAGGCTTCGGGGCAGGGATGCCACCACCCCACTTCCATCTCGCTGAGGCTCAGCAGACCTTTCTGCCATGATCATGGTTGATGCTTCCCTGTAATTCATGGGAAGGATAGCACACCCTGCTCCATCTCCTCCCCGTAACTCATGCTCCCGCTGCACCATCTTTTCCTTCATGCTATACCTGCTTGTCAAATATCCTCCAGCGATGATAGCAGAAGAGTCAGGAGTCCCAGGGTGGCTGGCACTAGCCATGTTACTGCTGTGCTGGGTGACTTTGGCCAAGTTGTCTCCCTCTCTGGGCCTCTCTGGGCCTCTGGCCCACCACGGTCTCTGAGAGGCTTGGCAAGTACTGACCTTACCCTTGGTTCCTGCAGGCGGTACACAAGGCTGAGCTGAAGATGGATGAGCGGGGGGCAGAGGGGGCCGCAGGCTCCGGAGTGCAGACGCTGCCCATGGAGAGGCCGATAAATTTCAAGATAAACAGATCCTATCTGCTGATTATTTACGAGAAGATCACGCCTTCCATGCTGTTCTTGGGAAAGATTGTTTATCCTGGTGGGAAATAAAGGGGAATTCCAGCTTGCGGTGGACCTCAACCATGGCCTGGGGCTGAAAATATTTCATCTCCCTAGGATCAGAGCCACAAGCACATTCCAGTCTAGTCCCACATCATCACAATCTCCTAAACCGCCCAAATGAGTGGCAATGCTGGCTCTCGGAGCCCTGGGCTCCCTCTACTCCCTCAGCCCCCTCCTTGCGTATTCGAATGTCACTGTTAGATGCCCCACACCCACCCCACTTGGTGTTCTCTCTCTTCCAGCAGGCAGAGGGGGTTTGTGATTTAATAAACAAATACTCCCCCCCCACCCCCAGGTCTGCCAACTGTTAGTGGATACTTTGGGAAAGGTGTGAGCCACAGCAATACCTGGAGTTTGGAGTGAGAGAGACCTGGGTTTAAATCCTAGAATGAGGTATCTCTGGGAAAGCCACATACTCTCTCTGAGCCTCTGTTTCCTTATTTCTGAAGTGAGGATCACTATATTCCCTTGCAGAGCTCCGGAGGAAGCCAGCCCAATGCTTTAGAAAAGTTAGTTCCCCTTTGTTGGCCTTCAGCCTTGGGTCTTTGGCGGTGAGCCATACAGTTATCCTCCCCAGATTGTCTCTGTGGGAGCTCTGGGCTCAGCCAGGCTTCCACGTTGATGGCAAAGCAGGGGTGAGGCTGGTCCAGTCCCTTGGGCAGCATTAGAATAGCAGCTACTTACTGCCAGCTTTGTTTATTCAACACAAAAAGGAGATTCTAGGTCTCCCATCTTGTCATCAAAGGCAGACGAACCTGCCATTGGAACCTGTTGATAAGCTCAGCTGAAGAGCTTCTGTCTATGGAGTCCCAGCACCTGCCCCAGGAAACAAGGCTCTGCAGTGTCTGTCTGTGACCACTAGGGGGCACCAGGTGCTCACAAGCCTACTTAGGTTACTAGTGAGGGGTGGTCTCTCCCAGCACCTGCCCCAGGAAACAAGGCTCTGCAGTGTCTGTCTGTGACCACTAGGGGGCACAAGGTGCTCACAAGCCTACTTAGGTTACTAGTGAGGGGTGGTCTCCTTTCAGGCAGCAGGTTCCTTTGCCTCCTGCAGTGAATTCCTAATGCCGTCTGATGTTTGGGGAGGAGGGGATCCTGACTGGCTTGGCACTAAGGAGCCTAAGCTAGCACCAGTTGTCATTCCCTGGGCAAGTCTCCCAATTTGCAGCTCACTGTTTTTTTGTGTGTTCTGGTCACAGCTGCCCCATGGGCAGCCAGAATGGACGTCCATATGACAGATGTGGAAACTGAGGCTCAGAGAGGTGAAGTGACTTCATGTCTTCTGATTTGGTGGGAAGGGAGGGGCCTCACACTGCCCTGGGGCCCAGCCATTCATTGTTCAGCCCCTCACCACGTCCCCTTCTGTGAGTGTGGATCCAGTAAGCACCTCCCCCTCTTAGGTCCTGGGCGCCCGCAGGGCCCTGGAGCCCTAGGCCTCAGGCTGGTGGAGAAGGCAGCCTGGAGAGGGGCTGGGCTAGTGTGCGACGGTAAGTGCTGAGATTGCGGAGCCCCAGAGTAAGCGGCTCCTTTTGAGAGGGTGGGCGTGGGGGAGAAGGCTGAGACCCTCCTCCGGGGACACCAGAGTGGGCAGGGGGCTGGGAATCCCACCATGCACTCTGCTGACATCACTCTTCCCCCTGCTCCAGCCTGAGGGTGGGTGTGGGAAGACAGCAGACACACATGGAAAGTCCCCGTGGTCATCTCAGCTGGGCAACACGTGACCGTAGGGATATGGCACAACCGGGAATGCCATTTAATGGCTGGGTGACCTGAGCATGTTGCCGAATCCTTCTGAGCCTCGGCCTCTTCATTTGTTGAAAGGGGATAATGATATCTACCTCCTGGGGCCCAGGAGCCCTGCAGATTTCACGAGATGGCGTAGGAACCACGGCTGGCATGCAGGCGAGCAGTAGAGAGAGAGACACGGGTCCCATCTTCAATGCTCCCCAACCCCCAGCCTCTGCGATGACCAGCTGTTTTCTTTTCTTCTTTTTAAAAATTTTAACGTTTACTTGTACATATTCGTGGGGTACAGTGTGTTGTTTCAATACACGCACACCCTGCACGATGACTCACTTAGGGTAGATACCGTAGTTTTGTGCCCGTTAGTCCAGCACTTCTCTCTGCCTCCCACCGGCCTCTGGTAACCATTATTCCGCTCCACTTCTAGGAGAAACACTTTTTTGTTGTTTTTTTTAGATTCCACATATGAGTGAGATCAGGCAGTATTTGGCTTTCTGTGCCTGACTTGCTTCATTTGATGTGATGGTTTCCAGCTCTGTCCATGTTGCTGAAAATGATAGGATATCACTTCTTTTTATAGCTGAGTAGTGTTCCACTGTGTTATACACCACAGTTTTTTTTTACACATTCATCCATTGATGGACATGGATGGTTGATTTAGGTTGATTCCATCTCTTGGCTATTGTGAATAGTGCTGCAATAAACATGGGAGTGCAGGTGACTTTTTGATATAGTGATTTCATTTCCTTTGGGTACACACCCAGTACTGGGATAGCTTGACCAGCTCTTTTTTTTTTTTTTCCTTTTTGTCTTTTTTCGTGTCCGGAAACGGATCGCAACCCTCAGTGTTGCACCCGCACCTCGCTCAGCCAGTGAGCAGGAACCGGTCTGTATGTGGGATCCGAACCCTCGGCGGGAGCGCCACCGCACTCCCAAGAGTCGCACTGTAGCAGTGCGCCACCGGGCCGGCCCAGACCAGCTCTTTTCTAAAAAGCTGCTCTCCAGGCATTTGCCTCTCCATCCCCTGTAATGGGAATTTCCTCGTGCCTAACAAGCTTCTACTCACCCTTTAGTACCCAAGCCATTATGACCTCTTTGTGAGCTTTTCTCTACCGTTCCAGCATCTTCCAAGCAGCCTTCCAAGAAAGCATTCATTTCCACATATGATGACGGCTGGTGGGTCTGAGTGTTCCCTCCGCCCCCATGTGGGCTGCTATTAATCTTACATCAGACAATGACTTAGGGGGCTGCAATTCTGGGCCAGGTGCTAAAATAAATAGCCTAGCTCCTGCCCTCATGGAGTTAATACTCAGTGGGGAAGCAGCCATGAACTGAGTAACACACACATCAATGTGCAATCATGAGCTGCAGTGAGCATGGTGAATGGTGATTAGGGGGTGCTTGGAGAGTCTGAGCCAGTCCAGGGACCCAGAGCAGGCTTCTCCAGCGATTTGACATTTGGGGAGAGCTCTAAATGCTGGGAACTCATCTGTTTTTAAACTGTAACTATTAATTAAAACTGTATATGGGTGCATTTTTTCAAAAGTATATAAAATACTGGTTGGCCTTTCAAATAAAATTGGGCATAAGCTTTAGTGCTTTATCTATCTTCGTTGTCACTATTTTTAAAATGACTGTTGCACATGTTGAATTTTTTCAATATGATGTCCTACTCTCACAGCCATATTTTCATTCTTTTTTTTTTTTTTGTCTTTTGTCTTTTTCCGTGTCCGGCAACGGATCGCAACCCTCAGTGTTGCCCCCGTACCGGACCGGGGACCGGCAACGGGATCGCAACCCTCGGTGTTGCTCCCGCGCCTCGCTCAGCCAGTGAGCGGGAACCGGTCTGTATGTGGGATCCGAACCCTCGGGTGGGAGTGCTGCCGCACTTCCCAAGCGGCGCACCTATCCAGTGCGCCACCGGGCCGGCCCCATATTTTCATTCTTAACTACAGAAATAAGTTCTATTTTGAAAAACAATAAATAAAAAGGAAGGAGCTGGGGTGGGAACAGAGGGAGACTCTGCCAAGCAGAGGGAAGAGCATGTGCAAAGGCCCTGAGGCAAGGAGGTGCATGGATGAGAAAAACAAGATGAATGTCTCCACCACAACAAAGTAAGGCAGGAGGAGGTGGGTGTGAGGCTGGAGAGGTAGGGGCCCTCGGGGGCCTGGGGTATGCTGATCCTTAGCTGAAGAGCTGTGTCAGGACATCACAGGTGTTTAGTTAGAGGCAAACTCATGTGTTGTAAGTGTCCCTCTGGCTACAAACTAGATGTCCTTGTGTCCCCTGTGCCCAGGCCAGTGCATGACACAGAGCACGTGCTCAGCATGTGTTTGCTGAAAAGAAAGACTTCCATGGCAATCACCCTTGTCCAGACCCAGCCAGCATCCCCCAAAGCTCCCCTCTCCTCTGGGAGGGCAGGCCTGCCGGCTGGGACGTGGCCATGCCTGCTCCTTCACACGGTCTGCACTGCCACCCCCTGCGTCTGCTCTGCCACCCCCCCCCACTCTCT